ACATACTAGAACCAACGATATACAAGTTATAATGCTAGAAGAAACAAAACAAAATTTACAGTCAAGTTATTGATTCGTAGCCAAAGTACAGTATTGTGCTGCTCAAAAGTCTAAAGCATTCAGTTATCTCTGATCTTAATGGTAAAGTTTCAGTGCGAGACGTTACTTGTTTGGGAATATTTGTAATTTAACCATTTGATGATCTCATATGTAGGCACCTATCACAGTGTTGAGGGATGTAGTAATCTCGCCCTTTGAATGGGCACGCACTATAGGTGGTAGGGAGAGATTTGTCTGAGTGGGAGCTTTTCACATCCCCCCTCTATCCACCCCTAAGAGATGCTTGAAAAAAACAATGCTCTTTCTTAACAATAAATTACGTACCCTTATGTTTTCAAGTTGATAGCATTGAAGATTGATGTGCCAGAAGGGATGATACAACTTTCAACTATAATACATACATAATTATTAAAATATTGAGCCTTTATAAAATAGTTGAAACAAAACATTCTAGCTACGAGGTATTAAACAGCTTATGGACCCATAGACAACTAAAATTATATTTAACATTAATTCAATATTTATTAATAGTAGACGAAACATTGAATTCAACACACAATCGTCAGTAGATTTAAAATGTGGCAATTAAAACTTGTGAAATCGACGTCACAAAAGTAATCGATTACTATCATCAATAACGTTAGGTTTAGATTATGCAAAATTAATATATAAAAATAATTTATGTTTTGTAAATAGTTTTTATATCTGGCATTTATTTAGCAAATCATCCTAATTCGCAATCAACATTTGAGTAGTTATTACTTGATAAATAGTGTTCGTGTCTTTTTATCGATGCTATAATATTTATAATAAGGAGCAATCATTTGTAGCAGACGTTCTCACTTCCTTGGTCGCCCGATTTGTTTAAGGAGCTTCTTTCAACTCTCGGTTTAGTCCGACTTGAAAATAAAATTCATAGCAGACCTTGCAGTCTTATCTGAGTAATAGATTCTACTGATCAGTTTGGTAACTATTTAAATAATTTTATGAATTTATCGAGCCCAAATACATTTTATTGTTTTAAATATCTAGATCTAGATTTTCTATATCTAGGAGTGAGACTCTAGACTCTAAATCTAGTCTAGAACTCCAGATCTAGATCTAGACTCTAGAGCTAGATCAGATCTAGATTTAGATCTAGAGTTCTAGATTAGATCTAGATCTTGAGGGACTAGTTTAGAATTTAGCTAGATTCTACTTTTCAGTTTTCTAAATCTACGTACATACATATAGATCCATATCTAGATCTCATCTAGTTTCTAATCTAGCTAGATCTAGTCTAGATCTAGGTTTCTAGACTTAGGCCATAGAACTAGATCTATACTATAGAATAGTAGATCTAGATAGTTTAAGTCTTAAGACAAGTTAAGAGTTAAGATTTGTACTTAACGTTAAGTAGATCTAGATCTATTAGGACAGTATGATTATTAATAGAATCTAGATCTAGTACAGTAGTAGTAGATCTATATTAATTAATAGTATAAATAATATATCATGATAATCTAGATCTGGACAAGATAATAGATCCCTAGATCTATTAAAACATTATTCTATATCTATTCTAATCATCTAATGATATAGATCTACATCTAGATTCTAGTTTTAAACTGGATCTAGAAATCTAGATCTAGTCTAGATTAGATATAGATCTATACATACTACATACATTACAACTCCGAGAACTGAATCCAATTTATAACTTCTGTCATATTAAAGAGTGCAGGTAAAAATTAAGATGCAGAATTCGATCAATAATCCTAATATATAATGGCCCATGTGCGCACTTCTCTCTCTCTCTCTCTCTCTCTCTCTGTCTGTCCGCAAAATATTTTCGCCGGATATCACGCCAGAATCGGTAGCGAAATATGGATACCTTTATACGGACTTTGGTTAAAAATACTATGTTAGATGTTTTAAATGTATAACCACAATTTTATTTAAAGAAGAAAAATAAAAAATAAAGGCGTATTCGAATGTAGAGACACAGTTTTAATTATGCAACAGGAAAAGCGTTTATAGTTGTGAAAAAGAATGCTAAAACAGTGACGTCCCTAATGTTTATATATTAACTAATGACGTCATTGCTCAAGTAAAAAACAATTACCTACAATAAAGCCACCTCAAAGGGTCGTGACCAGGGCCCAATGGGATAGCAAACCAGCGGCTGGAAAGTTTGGCGTTAAAAGACCACCACTATCCAGCCCTCCAGAAACAGATGTTCGAAAGAAAAACCCAAATAATTCACGCTAACTCTGGCAACATTGAACATCAGAGGGGCTAGGGACAAAACACATTATATAAACAACATAATAAATAAACACACTATTGACATCCTACTTTTACAGGAAACTAACATTGGAACTACAGAAGAAGCGAATACACTAGATGCATATATCAGTATTAAAAACTCACTGTACTGTACTGGTTTCAACTGCAGAGGATCCAGTATACTTTCTACATCAGACAAACACAAAATGAAATGTACATACACGGATAAACAGGGCCGGATAGCATGCATCACATTGGGTATTGACAAAACAGAAATAACAATCATCAATATATACGCCCAAACACATAGACAAGAACAAAAACATTTTTACCACACGCTTAATGAACGTATAAATATCGAATATAAAAACAAGACGATAGTTTTAGCAGATATTTTTTCACAAAATACACGGACATCGAGTTAAAAGAAATATTTCAAGTAAAGCTAAGGCATAGACTGGGAATTCTCACTTAAATGAGACAAAAAAATGTACAGGAAAGAAATAAATAAAGTATTAATTTTAATTTAGACAGTCTCAAGCCAAACATCACACACACTCCCCCCCCCCACTCTACCGGACTGGTGGATATTTCAAGGTAGCGTGACCTCATCGCCAAGGGTCAATTTTATGTCATGGAAAGTTTTGGAATGATAGATCAGTATGAGTATTACAGAGACACTTCTCCCACGGTCGTTTCTATTTCTGTCCATGGGTGACTACAATGTGAATTTTGACACCGCAGCTAAGGACGGAGCTCAGTAAACTAAGCAGTCAAGAGAAACCTAGTTTGCACACCTTATTTTAGTGTAGTTCTTATTCCATGTTATTTTGTCCCTTTGATTATTATATATGCAATTGATGTTCATGTCCTTGATGCTGTGTAAAATCTATCAAATAAATTATTATTACTGATTTAAAGGTTTAAAACAATTGAATTTATAAAAAAAAAATTTAAAAAAAAATGTTTGAGGACTGTATAGATATAGATGTTTGAAAGGGAAGAATATTTACTTTGATGTGTCTCATTGTAATAACATAACTTTCCCGATTGCTTAAAATTTGTATCATATTAATTCTCTGTAATCCCAAATTTATTTCAGCTCTACTCAAAAACCCAAATTCCACCCGTGTTTAGAATAAAAAGAAATGAACTATTTCATTCAGATTTGATTTAGATCTACGTACGCTATAAAATTTATACAATACAATTTTGCTCGGGCTAAACTTAAAAAAAAAATTCTATTAGGATTCTAGATCTAGATATTCTAGATCATCTAGATATAGAATCTCTAGATCTAGAATCTATTCAAATAATACATTTCTATACTAAAGTATTTCAGGCCTTAATTACTTTATTGAAATCGTTGTTTATCTATGCAATTTCTATATAATATATAAAGCAAAGTTGTCGGGTGCCCGATAGGGCACTTCCCGGCGCCGTAGGCGCTTCAAATTTGGCAGGATCTTGCCTTGGGGCGACAGAACACAGGGGCCGGTTGGCCGAAAAGTCTACGATGAGTGGGTCAAAACTGACCTCGACTGACCGGCGCCTTATATGAGCTATAAATCGAAAAAAAATGTCCACGTAGGAACCTCTTCATAACTCCTGAGGTCGTAAACCGACCCTCGGGCGAATTACTTCAGCATTCAAATTCTCAATGTTATCGAAAGCCTAAGCGAAGCTGGGCAGCATGCCTAGTTATACAATAAAAAAAAAGCAAAGAATTTAGTCTAAACATGGAACAAAGTAAATTTAAGTAAATTAGTCTAAATTGAGTCTATAACAAATAATAGTAGGTTATCATTTTTATACAGTAAATGAATATCCTAAAGTTTTGAAGTATTATTCAATATGAAGTCTAAAACACCTAACCAAATGTTTGGTACTAATAGGTCATTTTACAATGTAATATTTTAGCCTAATTTTTTATTGCATGTTAATGCACTTATAAGTATAAACAACATTAGGGATTTATACAGGTGTTTTTTCAATTTTTGTGTAAATTTTTTGTTTCAACAATTAACTATGCTATAGAGCTATACATAAGTAGATCTACGAAAAATTTGAATATTGAAGGACAAATTGATTCTCTTTCAAAATTTAACCTTCATACATTTTATTTAGGCCTGAGAATAAATTTGAAAAAACTAATCATTTTTATGTGACGACTGTTATTGCATGCACATGCTCTATTCTATTTTTATTATCATAACAGTTTAAAGTTAAATGTTATAACTGATTTTTATTAAACTTATTAAAGATCCCGCCTAATTAGGTATCTTGTTATGTAAGCTGCAATTTCAAGGTCTTTTTTTCAAATATAACTCATTCTTCAGAAAAAAAAATATTTGAAAATCACATTTAATTAAAACTATTAACATGTTTATCAGAAGCTAATATCAAATAAATAATAAGCTGATTACCATAGGTGCTATGTTTATGGCCAACAATTACTTTTTTTTCATTTGTAGTATTAATTTTATGTGTTTTTCACTACTTATAAGAAACAAATCTATTTCAAGTTACTACATGTTTCTAATACTAGAGAAACGTTGATATGCAGATGTAAAGTCAATTCTACAAATTCTTTTTTTTGTTTACATTTTTATTAGTGCACTTATGAAACCTAGTTACTATTTTATATTAATGTTCTATAATCATATCTACAGTAAAACAAACCATGAAAACCCCAAACAAAGTGAGAAAAAGAAAATTGGAGCCACCAAGTACACCTGAAGGTAGAGCCAGATAAATGATAAGTCATTCTTTTAGCCAAATCTTTAAATAATTTTGCATATTTAAAAACTTGTGTGGCATTTTTAACATTCAAATACTTTATAATCAATTTCTTAATAACCTATATGTGATATTTATAAGTGTAAAAACAAAATGCTCAATACCCATGGAATTCTATTAAAATTTATTTTCTTACTTACCTGATTATGAATTTTATAAAGGTATCTATCCAGCTATAAGAGTTTATCTCAGTAATGCCACTTTTCTTGTCACTGTAATTATAAAGTAATGTATGTGTTATTTTCTTATTATTTTATTTTAGATGTGCCATGCTGTGAGAGTCCAAGTAAAGTTACCAAAAGTGACCAACCAGGTGTCTGTATTCCAGGTAAGATATGATAAACATAAGACAACTCTAGTCTAAATAATTATAAATCTGTGCTAGTGATAACATTTAGATGACTTTACTATTAGTAATTTTATAGTTCATTAGATGAAGGAGATAGTAAAAGTTTAATTTATATCTATATCAGATTGCTAAATCAAGTGTTAGTGTAAGCATAGTATAGCTAATCAAAATAATAATAGGTGCATTTTATATCAGTGTTTAAATTGGTTAGGCTATTTAAACAATCTGTTTCCCCTATTCCTGCAGGAAATCATGAAGCTGAGATGTGCTATGGAGGAGAAGCTGATCTACACAAACATGTTACCGGCTGTAAGAAGAATCCAGGTCATAAAGGTTTTATACCTCTTAAAGATTTTAACGCAAATTGTCTCCCCTCACGTTACCATGGCGACGACCTCTTGTCTGAGACAATCAAAACATTGGCAGCCCTAACTGTCCAGGTAAAGACTAAATTCACCAGTCTAGAGAGACCAGAGTTTTACCCAGACACTCAAGTTCCATATCCATGTTATAAGGACAGAGGACGTGACGTGATGAGGTTAGGGACGGGAAGGGTGAAGTATGTGGGCAAGTACACAGAGAGTGACAGATGTGGAACTTGTGGTTGTGCCAAGTGTCAAGTCTCTGCCACACCCAGCAAAGTGTGGGGGAAGGTTGAAGTGATTACAGCCACACACGTGGTGTTTGATGACAGTGAGGCGAGACAGACCAGGTGTGTTTTAGGTTTTGATGACAATAAAAGTCTGGTGGTCAGTCTTGATGGTTGGGAGGTGGGGGAGGCAGACATTGAAGGAGACTTGTGTGAGTTGAGTTATGTGACATGTGACTTGGATAAGTTAGAGTTGGTTGATGAACTGGACAAGATGTGTGATCGCTTTGATGGTCTATGTGATGAAGTAGAGAACAAATACAGGAGATTTGTTGGTGTGGACAAGTTGACCGTTATAGTGTCACATCCTCATGGCTGTCCTAAACAGGTCTCTGTAGGAAAATGGACACACAAACATGAGAGGTATGATGATGTTGTTGATGATGATGCTACTCCTTGGACCAGGTACTGGTACACAACATGTACATGTCCAGGCTCCAGTGGAGCACAGGTCTACAGGCTGGGACATGTCGGGTGGCCGTACCACCATCCCCACAGTGGATCAAACTCTGAAGGAAATTATAGTGGGGAGTGGGTGCGCTAATATAACTGTTAGTACTCTCCCCTTGTCTACACAATGTAAACAAACAAAATGGCGGAACTTTTCCCGTCATTAAACTGATTGTGTTAAGGCTTGCATATGTTGTAAACATTTTATAACATGTAAATGATTAAAACAATTGTTTTGATTGATTCAAACCGTTTAACCGTTATAATTTGCATCTACCATAATGTATTATACGCATTTTACATGTTTAATGATGTAAATATTTTGTGTTTAACAAATGTCGGCAACATTGTTGTTCTTATCTTACCATGAATTGTATCTTTACATATTACATTTCTTGCTCTTCTTATTTGTTTACAAAATTATTACATACTAGAAAATAAATGCCCAAGATAAAACTTATTTGTTTGGTTGTTAATTTCATTTTTATAGACTAATTAGCATTAGCAAACTGTTATCAAACAACTTTTTGATACTGATGTTGGTATTACCGTCATGATGTCGGTGATTTTAAAACATTCCCAACTTAATGTAACGATAAGGCCGACATGTAGCCCAAATATGGATAAATAATGTCTAGTTATGATCTACTTCAATGAAGTGCAGTTCAAATAAACTTAACTGTTACCAGAAACAACCGTTAAGATCTACATCTTGTGTTGTCCTACTCCAATAGAAATGTTAAGTGAGATCGGAGTTCGTCGCTCTGATAAACTGACACTTGTGTAAACATTTTCTTTATTCTTATTTCTTCTAAATACTTTTACCAACTGGTGATAGAACACTCGCATGTTGAAATGTAGGTCTCTCGTTGCTGAGTCCATCCAGCTCTAATAGGTTCCTGAGTTAATCGGGTAGTTTAAACGCGGCTGTGACGGCATAATTTGATTATGCCATTTTCAAAGAATTATTTGACTCTATTTCATCTGCTAGATTGACCTTCACATTTTAAAGATAACGTAACTTCCTTAGATTGTATGGCAACTCTTGGTAAATATTGGTAACATTACAAACAATGATTAACGTGAACAAAACCAACGGTTCATAATGAGCTCACAAAATATTTAAACATTGAACGGATATTTTTTATTTATAGAAAATATTTTAGACTTATTTTGATACAACGGAAGTTGCTTAAATTTTGACAGAAAGCAGAGAATTATATTTTTTACTTACATGTGAAATTTCGTTTATCTAAAACAGTAATCAAGTTATATCCTTTTGAAAAACCAAAGTAGAATGTTCCACTATCGATTACCGGAAATCGCTGACAAGTTGATACAGAACTACAAACTTGATATAATACTTGTACATGAAATTTCATCAACCTAGCTATTACAGCATTCAAGTTATCGTGTATACAGACACACATACGCACACATAGACATGCGGACATAATTGCAAAGCCCAGTTTTTCCGATTCGATTTCGCATAGATATTATTTTTTGCACGATAAAAATAAGTCCCCTATACTCTGTATATGATGAAGTACTGACGTGTAAATCGATGAAAACTGTCATTTGATTTTATGTGAACGATCATAATACTTCCTCAATACTCTGTATACGAGAAAGTAAAAACGAGTACAGTCAAAGGGAAGCAACAATGAAAATATTTTAAGAGAAAAGATTTTCATGATTATCTTTCTTTTTTACTTTCTCGTATACAATAAAACACAATAACTTGAGTACCGTTACAGCTAGGTTGATGAAATTTCTTATATAAGTATTTTATCAAAATCGTAGATCCGTATCAACTTTTAAGCGATTTCCGATAACCGGAAGTGGTACTTTTCCTACTTTGAATTTTTCAAAAGCCTATAACTTGAGTACTATTTCAGATAGATAAATGAAATTTCACATGTAAGTACAAGATCTAATTCTCTACCTTCTGTAAAATTTTGAGTAATTTCCGTTGACGAGAAGTACTAATTTACGCTATTTCCGATTTCTCAAAAGCGCATCTAAATGTATAAAGTACTAATAATATTGCGCACCATTATGAACATCTTTATTCGGCGTTCGCTTGGTGTGCAATACTTTTTTCTATGAGATTCTATTTTATTTTAAAAAGTTTATGTATTTAAAATTGATTAAAAATCATAATTATATCCCGAGTTCCTATCCCCTGTTGTTTTATATAAGAATATTCGAGAAAGTTTAGGGGAGATCACTCCCGGTTTATTTTTCCTGAAGTGTCAATAGTTTATGTCGTAAATCTCTCTATGCTTAGCACAGGAATATATTAACCTCCATCGTATTATAGGGACATTCATATCTATATATATAAAGCAAAGTGGTCAAGTGCCCGATAGGGCACTTCCCGGCGCCGCAGGCGCGTCAAATTTGGCACGATGGTGCCTTCGGGCAATAGAACACGAAGGCCGGTGACGGTTGGCCGAAAAGTCTACGGAGAAGGGGTCAAAACTGACCTCGACTGACCGGCGCCTTATATGGGCTATATTACGAAAAAAAATTTCCTCCGACGACCCCCCTTGAAATTTTGTGAGGTGGTAGGAGAACACCTTGGGGTGTCACAAAAAACTCGGCATATCTGGGAAAACTTCGTAAAGCGGTCAAAACTGACCAGTTGTATTTCCCTATATAATCTTTGTATTTTATGGGAAAAACAGAGGGTCATTTCAACGCAGACTTAAGGGTACTTAAGCTCAGTATATCTGGCTAATTTTTTGCATGCTCCTAGGTCAATGGCTTGACCTTTAGGGAAAACTGTCGGTTACACTCAAAACCCTCGACGAGGGCTAAAAAGTGACCGCGAGTGAAATTCTCTTTATATGAGCTCTATTACGAAAAAAAATTTCCTCCGACGACCCCCCTTGATATTTTGTGAGGTTGTAGAAGAACACCTAGGGGTGTCACAAAAAACTCGGCATATCTGGGAAAACTTCGTAAAGCGGTCAAAACTGACCAGTTGTATTTCCCTATATAATCTTTGTATTTTATGGGAAAAACAGAGGGTCATTTCAACGCAGACTTTAGGGTACTTAAGCTCAGTATATCTGGCTAATTTTTTGCATGCTCCTAGGTCAATGGCTTGACCTTTAGGGAAAAATGTCGGTTACACTCAAAGCCCTCGACGAGGGCTAAAAAGTGACCGCGAGTAAAATTCTCTTTATATGAGCTCTATTACGAAAAAAAATTTCCTCCGACGACCCCCCTTGATATTTTGTGAGGTGGTAGAAGAACACCTAGGGGTGTCACAAAAAACTCGGCATATCTGGGAAAACTTCGTAAAGCGGTCAAAACTGACCAGTTGTATTTCCCTATATAATCTTTGTATTTTATGGGGAAAACTGGGTAATTTCTACGCAAATTTTAGGGTACTTACTCTTTGTATAACTGGCTAATTTTTTGCATACACCTCTATAGATAGATGGGCCGTATGGAAAACCTGTTGGTCAGCATTAAAGCCCTCGAAGAGGGCTAAAAATGACTGCGAGTGAAATTCTCATTATACGAAATTTGGTCAATTGGTCTATGAGCAGGGGAGGTAACTTTTTAATGTAACAATTTTTTAATATTTTGTATACTCTTTTTAAGAAAAAACAAAAATCATAAAGTATAGCATTGTTTTAAATGGATATTGTGTTATAAATTAAGTTTTGTATTGTATTGTAATTGTAAAATTAATTGCAAAAGTAATTTAATATAATATTTGATTGATAATTTTTATGAAAGCCCTTTCAGTTCTAATAACCTTGCGAGTAATAAGTTGCGAATATTCTATCAATTTATGTGTACTAAAAAAGTACCCCACTGTATAAATTTAGACATTTAATATAACAGCCAATCGCCTATTAATTAATCATTTAATTTCTCAACTTTTTTGAAAACCTAAGCGAAGCTAGGCAGTATGCCTAGTCTTGTATAAATTGTGTTACATAAAATGACATCTTCTTAATGTATTTAATGTTTTGTTTTATTTTTGGTCATTTAGTATTGGTGCTTTTAGTTGAAGCTATACTTACTGTAAGCTCTGCACGAACAGTGTCATGGTCAAAGGGAAATAACAATGAAAATATTACACATTTAATAGAATTTCATGGTTGTCTTTCTTCATATTTAATTTCAGATCCATAATTTTGTTGCCAACGTTATAGCAAACATCAATAAAAACAATACCAAAAGAGATGCTACCGAAACAGCACCAATAAAGTCATCAACTTGTGTCGTTTAAACCTTACTAAAAGAATCTTAAAGTGGCTATTAATACAATAGTGTGAAGCTGGGTAGCCTACAAGGTGACAAGTTATTGTACACTGTATCAAGTGCACATACCTATTCGGTTTCTTTGATACAAAACAAGGTATTTTAAAGTTTACAACTGAAATTTTAAACAAAACTTTAACACGTTTTCTCTGCCGCCCACGAATTGAGATTAAAGTCCAGGCCAGCCTAAGATGATATAACGGGCCTGTTAGGGGAATTCAAGACAATATATATTAACATGCAGACAATAGGTACAGCTCTATCAGAAAGAGAAAAAGACGTCAGGCACGATTAGACGACTACATAAAACAAAGTAGGACCGGCTCATTGTACTAGTTTCAGTGAGGGCAACACCGATGTAGATACAAAAGGAATCTCTAGGTGTGAGCTGTATGGCAAGGAATATACATAGTAAAATTGTCTACATGCATCGTCAAGTAAATAAATAGGATTGCTTCGATTTCCTGTGGCATGGCACTGTTCCTTATTATATGACACGTACGCATCCTTAAATACCTCATTACACTGTGATACAACACAGTAAAATGCCCTCCATTCAATACACTATACTCAATACGGCGTTTATTCCTAATAAAATAACATTCGTTTTCTACAATATTTGCAACTTGGGAAAAAGAATGTAATCGAATTGAAAAAATAGTAAAAAGGCCGGTAAAAAAACACATTGCTGAAATAATTTTATTATTTTTATTAATCAAAATGTGTAGAGATTGTATGAGCTACCAAAACTTTGAATATAATATCAAAACGAAGTGTGTTTTATTTTGTGTATGTGTGTGTATATGTGTGTGTGTGTTTGTGTGAGTATGTGTGTATGTTTTGTGTATCGAGTTACATTTTGCATCTTTATTTCATCACTAGATCTATGCAACATCTATATTTAGCATCGATAAGGTCTTACAGGGATAACGCACATATCATCGGTTATTTCTAAACACCTGAACGAGGTGTGTAGATCTATGTGTAGCACAGCGCGAGGTGTTTAGATCTATATGTAGCACATCTCGAGGTGAGTAGATCTATGCCTATCACAGCTCGAGGTGTGTAGATCTATGTGTAGCAATGCTCGAGGTTTGCTTTAAAATGATTGGCACTTGGAAAATTGTTTCAGTTGAAATGTAAATAGAATGATTTATAAAATTA